GGTCTATGAGTCAGGCACGGGGCCAGATGCTGAGTTGCTGCTGTGAGAACCACACAGCCAAGACCGTGACTGGAGCTGACTGGAAACACACCCTCTCAGCCTCCCCTCCACTTTAGACACAGAAACCCTGGGCTTTTCCATGTCCCCCAGGTGAGCCTGATGTGCTTAGGTCTCATTCAGGACCAGCTGTGTGCAGGAGAGGCATGAGTGAATTAGGACAGTGTCTCAAAGGACAGGGACAGGAGGGTCCCCCTTTCTCGGGGGTCCCAGCAGCTTCCCCCAAGGAAGGTGTGCTTTAGTTGGGATATTAAAGATGTATAGGCGTCTCCTAGGGCAGTATTTCCCAAAACTTAATGAGAAAAAATGAAAACCGTGGGGAGGGAGCTTGTGACAAACACAGAAGGCCTGGGATCAGGACTAGGGGGCCTGCCGAGTCCCAGGAATCCGTGTCTCTCTTTAGGGGCTGCGGGTGACGCCCACACCCATCGCGTGGGGCCACCTGTGTTTGTGGGGAGGCCGAAGGTGACAGGCAGGCCCCGTTCCTGAGCGCGACTCACCCTTAGCCCCCTGGCCGGATCCGAGCCCGCCTTCGCGAGCGGGATGAGGCCGGGTGTTACCTGGGACCAGACAAAGCCGCCCTCGCGGCACCCGCTCCAGGCCGCACACAAGAGAAGGCCCCGCTCGGGTCCCGCAGCCGTGCCTCGCAGCGGCCCACCTCCACCATGGTGCCCTGCATCCACACGGCCGCCAGCTCCAGGGGCGCGCGGCCCGTCGCCTCCCGCGACAGCCGCCATGCGCCTGGGGCGCCCTCCACGTCGCGTTGCAGCTGCTCCGCCAGCACCTTCAGCGGCGGCGACCGCGGCAGCCCCACAGCCGCTGAGCCGCCGCTGGTGAACGAGTCAGTAGCAGAAGCCATTCGGCGCGGCGCCGTTTTCCCGCCAACTTTGATAGGCAGTGAGGCTTGGACTGCGGTCACCAATCAAAAACGTGCTGGCGCAGCTGACCAATGGCCTGCGTCGGGAGACGGGACTGCGGAGGTGAACCGCCATCTTTTTATCTCTAGGAGTGCGCATGCCTCACGCCCACCCTGCAAGCAGGGCTTGTGCCCAGTGACTCTGCTGGGCAGAATGGCAGGGAGACAGCGGCCTCCGCAGGTGACCCAGTTCAGGAACCCTGGAGCCCGAGCCTTGGAGAGGAAGCGGGAGCAATCACTTCCCTTCTGTAGACCTCCCCAAGACTCAACCTGTCTGGTCACGAGAAAACATCAGACAAGCCCCAAGGGAGGGACAGAAAAGGTAGCGGCCAGTACTCCTGAGCCCTCAGGGTTATCAGAGACAAGGGAAGGAGTTTGCACCGGGACACCGGACGCTTGGGGTTACAGCCCAACAGGACTTCATCCTGCTGCTGAAGTTGTTGGGGCTGGGAGAAGCCCGGGAAGGGCAGGATCTGGGAACAGAGAAAAGGCACTGGGAATACAGGAAATCTGAACACAGTGTACACAGCAATGACACATCAGTATTGGCTGGTTACTTGTGACAAATGTTAACACAGCGGCAGGGAAATTGGGTACGGAGCCCTGAACTGGGTCCTGGAACAAAAAATGGCATCGTGAAAAAATTGGTGAAACCCAAATAAAGCCCAGGGTTTGGCGAACAGCAATGTCCTGATGCTAATCTCTTAGTTGTGACAAATGTGCCATGTGAAGTCAGATGTCAGCCATGGGGAAAGCGGCGAGAAGCATAGAGGAATTCCTGGACTAACCTCTTCTTCCCCCCAGAAGAAAAGTTTATTAAGGAAAAAATAAGCCTGTTGTGGTGGCACACGGCTGTAAATCCCAGCACCAGGAGGCTGAGCCAGGTGGATTGCTGTGAGTTCAAGGCCACCCTGGGCTGCACAGTGAGACTCTAAATAAATAAATAAAAATGAATAAATAAAATTAACTAAATAAATGGAGAAAGAAAGAAAACAATAAAAAATACCTTCACAGATGGAACCATGGCATATACCAGGTAGCAAATCTTGGGCTAAATTCTACGTCTTTTCACTAAAGAAAAAGTTTATTAAAGAAAAAATATATATGAAATTTCAGAACTCTGGAAGGCTGAGGCAGGAGGTTCATAAGTTCTAGCCCAGCCAGGGCAACTCAGCAAATTAGTGACACCCTATCTCAAAATAAAAAACAAAGGCCCTGGATTCAATTCCCATAACACACACACACACACACACACAC